CCCCCTTTCGGGTCTCTTCTGTGGATTGTCGCATTGCCACAAGCCAAAGCAAATTACAGGGACGAGCCTGTGTCAAGGTGGGGGCTGGGGGAGAGTGCAGGCTATCTGCCCGGAGTGGAGGCACTTCCTAATTCCGTAGAGGACACAGGAGCAGATGCAGGGAGGGTGGAGATTCGAACTCCTGTGTGGTCTGTTCCAGGACCACTCTGCGGCCTTTGCTTCCTCTGAGTACTGGAGGGACCACTACGGGGATTTGAGCGGGAGCCATGTGATCAGTCATAGGTGTTAGCAGGCTCCCTCCCACTGCTCCTCTGAGACTAAGAGAAGCCTGGAGGGGGCGAGCACAACCCAGTAGGAGGTGGACATTGCCTAGGCCATGAAGGTGAGCCAGGAGGAACGTCTGTGAGGTGTGACAGAGAGGATCCGTGTCCTGGGGGGCAGTTCCAGGCATCTCCACAGAGGAGGAGGTTTAGGAGAGCTGTAAATCTCTTGCAGGAACCAAGGGAGGGTTTGGGGCCAAGAGATACTACCTCTCAGGGTTAGCCATCACCCCAGCCGCTGTGAGAATAGCGTATGACCCAGGGAGGCAGGTTAGCATTCTACCTGGGGCCAGGAGTGGCCAGGCCTGTGGTTTGTTTGAAAGTAGATCCATTTTGTGGCAAGCCTCTTAGCCTGGTTGTTACAAGGCTTGGATCCACATGGCTGACCGCAGTTCAAATATCCACCCTGGCAACTTGGGAAATACACTGGGCTTGTGTGTGCCCCAAATCCCAACAGAATAGAGAAATAGGGGAGAAGGAATTGTAGCACAGCCACACCCCACTGGGAAGTGCTTTTGTTTTCTCCCTCTCCCTTTCTCTGTCTCTCTCGTGAACACACACCCTCTGACAAAACAGAAAAAATAACAAAACAGACCCCCAGAGATCCATTTTGCAAAAGCTGGGACCAGAGATTCGGGTGCCTACAAAACCCAGGTCAGGAATGTGAATGACAAGAGGCCCATTCTCAGGGGATGGGTCTTGCTCTGCTCCTGCCAACTGTTGTTTCTTGGGCATATGAGATGGTGTTCTAGAACATTCCATTTTCCAAAACAGTGGAAATATCTATAGGTGATCTTCCACTTTTCAAATATTAGAATGAATTGAAATTAAATATAAATCCTCTGAGGGCTCCAATAAAGCTTGGTTGGAACAGCCCTCTGGCTTCGAGTTGGTGTGCTGCCCTCAGGCGGGATCAGCCCTCGGAAGGCGAGGGTTTCATGTTGCCAGGCCCAGGCCCTGTTCTCCCTCTGCGCTCCTGTAGCCCTCGGGCTGGCCCCTAGAAAGTAGTAGGCCAGTCTTCTCTGTGACTCATAGAACCTGAGAATGCTGGTGACAGAAGGGAGTTCTACTTCCCAGTTGCCAGAACCAGAGCCTGGAGATGGGGCTGTAATTTCTCTCCAAACCCCTGCCCAGGCAGGCGGGTCAGTGCTGTGTGCCGAAGGGTCCAGTACTGGGACGACTCCATACGGACGGTTCCTGAGTACCACGAGGAGCATGGCCAGGAGGTGTGGAGTGGGCGGGTGTTAGCATTCAGAACTGACCTCAGCATTCTCGGAGCCCTTACTGGGGAGAGATCCCAGAGGCCTGCCTGGAGGCCACTGAGCTAGGCTCTGAGGGGAGGAGAGAGTTCACCCCAACCTTGCTGTGTGCGAAGCCCCTCGCAGAGCCCTCGCAGAGGAGTCTCATCTGTCCGTGAAGATGTTGGGCCCTGCTGGCCTGTTGAAGTGGCTGGGGCTTAGGGCTCTGGTGGAGGATTCAAGACAGGAGGATGAGGCCGTGCCCAGGTGGCTTTAGATGCCCCCTCTAGTCCCCATGTTACAGCCACTGCAGACTCGGTCAGCCACTGTGGTGCCTCAGGGTGTGACAAGCACTCATATGGTGGCTTCTCAGCCTGCCATGGACAGGGCCTGCATTCCCCTGAGGGTCCCGGGGAGACATGGCCCAGGCTACTGTGTCTTGGGCATCTGCCCATGATGTCCTCACCGCAGTGTCCTCCCTGCTACCTACCAAGGCTCCCCATGTGTGGCCTCCTCTTGGAGGCTGTCCCTACCCTCACTGGGGGGAGTGGCCCTTTCCTCCGGGATCCCCTGGGACTAGCTCTCGGGGGCAGGGAGGGGTGGACCTAGTGAGTGTCCGACCTGCATCGGATCACCCACTCTGCGTGTGGAAGCTCTAAACTGCTTCCGGAAGGAAGGAGGGAGGCAGGCAGGAAGGCGAAGGCGAAGGCGGGTAGAGTGAAGCATATTCCCAAGCAGGTCCCTGTCTCGCCAGCAGAGGGGACCAGTTGCCGAGGCTGGTGGGCCCA